AAGTTGTATTGTTTATCAATTATGAGTAAAAGAGTTTCCTTAATTCTCAAGCTCAGTGATGGAGAAGTATTTCAAAATATTAGTAGTTTCTTTTATATGTTTCTTGATTTTTTTGTGAAGTTTTCGTACATTAATTTATGTTCATTTGTTTCATTTCTCCATCACAAAGTACCAACTTTCCTCATTTTAACAGATAATGTTTCAAAAAAAAATTTAGGGGGCAGCCCCGTGAGCCCCGTCCCCCTTCAACTCCGGGACCCCCCTAGTTTAAAGGGCTGGCTCCGCCCCTGCCCACAACTACTTTTAGCTGTCGTCATTGTTATCAACACCACTCATAACATATCGTGCCACCATTGTCGTGGTCAGGGGCGGACCCAGCACCTGGCCAGTCCTCGCGGTCACGCTCTTGCTGGCCCGCCGGAAGCTTCAGTTTAGACCGTCCGCCGAGAAGAAAGATGTAGAAAAAGGCATTGCACCGTGGATAGGAGCTGGAACTGAAGCAGGAAGCCTGGGAATTTTTGGGCCTTATTTTGAAAAAATAAGGCCCAATTAATGAGCCCAATCCATGGTCTTGGGTTTTGCTTGAATTCTATTAGCCAATGGCCCAATAGTCACAACAAAACCAATTAACCAAATCCAAATATCTCATTCTTTTTGCTTTGGGTCCGGTTGAGAAAAGGGAATAGGGAGAGTTGGAGACGACGAGAGCGAAATTATTTTAGGCTTCTGTAAGTTTTTGACGTTGCCGATTCGGAGGACGGTGGAGGTTGGAGCTGTGAGTTTTTGGGTTGGAGCAGTGGACTGTGGAGTGGAGCTTCTGGGTTCTGGATTCGTCTATTCTAGTTCTCAGCTTCTCCTGCGTTTTGCTGCGGCTTCTACGGTTCTGCCTGCTTGAGGTATTTATTTGAATTCGCCTATTTCCTATTTGCTATTAATGAATTATGAGAAATGACTAAATGAGAATTTTTGGGTGCATTTTGTAGACTGTATTTACATTTTTATTCTTTTTTTTTTTTTTTCCATTTTTGTTAATTTGTGAATTATGAAAAATGAGAATTTATGTTATATTATTGTCGGAGACTATAAGTTATGACTTATAATTTTGAATTGTGTTTGTGTATTGTGAAATGTGAATTATGATTTGGGAAATTAGGATTTAGGGATAAGTGAAAAAAATTAATGGTGAAGACGTTTGGTAGTTATATATGTATCGAATTATATTTTCGATTATTACGATAGTTGATTGTCAACGGTCATCGGTGTCTGCCCTAACTGAACTAAAATGCTGGATTCGCCACTGGTCGTGGTCACTACTTGCTCCCACAACTACCAAGATCACACACACAACAATTTGCACCACCCGCTATCATCATCACAATGATGGCGCCATCACCATTACCAGAATAGGTTAGCACTGATGGTGGTGGTGGCCAATGAGGTGGATATTGTTTAGAGTTTGTAATTGAATTTTGATTTAGGTTGATATATAACTTTACGTGATAGGGAAAATTCATACAACTTTTAAGGAAAAATAAATAAATTGTATTAGTCCTCAACCTTTTATCGTGACAGTATATTGATCTCCCTCGTGTTATCATATAAATCCAAGGGATGTTTCCCCTTAGTTACGTTTTGATCACATAAGAATTAATAAGTGTACTCGATACTAATTATTAATTTAGTTGCATTAGTGTGGTGTCTAAAGCTTATTCGTATATGCAATATGGTATCTCTCTTATTATTGAATTAATAAAATGTCAAGCAGATGATATTTAAATACATGTGTCAATTTACAATTAATTCAAAGTACAACAAAAACTCAGTACAGACGGTCTAAAATTCCTATGTAGGAGGAAGAAAACCTAAATTTTGTTCAACAAAATCATACTGTACCATGCAAACGGCCCCAAGAATCATCCCACAAGCCAGCATTCCACAATACTTTCCAATGACCAAAATTCTCATCTTCTTCTGTGTCTTCTCCAGCGCCTTTTCTTCTATGATCGCCTCGAAAAACTTGGCCGTGAAGCCATCAGTTGATGAATCCGATTCACACACAGCCTGTGCATCACCATTCAAATTACACACCCGAGTGCATTCAGAACTAGGGGTGGGCGCGGGTCGGTTCGGTTCGGTTTTTTTCGGTTCCAGAAATTTTCGGTTCTTTAGTAAATGGAACCGTCGGTTCCAAATATAATTTTGGAACCGTTCGGGTTCGGTTCGGTTCGGTTCCGTTCGGTTCCGTACTATAATTAAATTTTTTAATATTTAAAATAATACTACATAAATACACCTGAAAGTAGATACTAATATTAGCCCCTGTTTGGAGGGCATTTTTTTCC